CAAGAGTGCCGTTTTGCTCTGCAAGCTTGCTTTCCCCCAATGTTTGCGGCCGCATTGGGGGAAAGCCAGCTTGAAGAGCACGCTGGCTTCTTTTTTGTGGGCGGACGCATTGACTTAACACCTCTAAGAAAGAAGGCCGTAGCGCTCCGAGTGGTTACATCACAATGTCGGAGAAGGAAGGCCATGGTGCAACTACATAAAAAAAAAATATCACATCGTCGTGAAAAACATTTTTCTTGTCAAGCGGCACGGTGGGGTTTGTGCGCGTTTATCCGACATTAATATGTCTTAAAAGTGCTGTCTTGTACAATTTATTATATATATATAATATAAATGTAATATACAATGTGCTACCAAGGTTGAAAGTACCAATTTTATATTCATGATTACCCCTATAACCGCGGGACTATGTGCAGTCCCGCAGCTCCCCACAACTTTCGAATGAACCAGTTCGGTGAGACATTTTCATCTTCCCTCCAACGGCTCCGATTCTGGTAAATGTATGTTGTGTGCGAGCTGCAGACTGTCTGAAAAGGAACGCTGGGACTTTCAGAAGGAAAGAGAATGGAAAAAAATCAAGTCATCGCCACGGGGAGCGCACACGAGCAAGAGATGGGCCGACAACGTTAAGCCTCCCACACTGCTCCGCTGCTCTCGTGTGAGGTTCTTTTGATCCTTGTTCCCGACGTTTTTCTGTCGTCACCGCAGTCTCGGGTAGTTTTTGTGTTCGCTTGATACTACGGCATTTATGTGGATTCGCGGAACAAGTCCTGCTACTGTTTGAGTGACGTGTGTGGAAACTAGCCAACAATGACACTGGTTGATTATCGATAGACCTCTCGAGATCTCGACTAAGAGGGACTTCTTGGAGCTTGTCTTCAAATGTTTTCGTGCCAGATATTGTGGGACATATGGATACGATCGACAGGTGAGAAACAACTTATTTACGGGCTTTCTTGGTCATGTGGGACGCAAGTAAGTGCTGCAGTCTTTCTTTTAAAATTTTGTGATAGAGCGGAATTTTGTTCTTTGTCGCTATCCGTGTACAGTGGCGTCGACATTTGTAAATATGCGTTGTAACATTCTAGTTTTCACTGGAAGGTGAATGACAAGTTTGTGCGATCATACAAAATGCATTTTTTGTGGTTTCGTGTTTGCTGATACTAATGTCATTTTATTGCCTTTACCGCATTTATACCAGGACCTTAACTGTATTACGGCAATAGTATTATTGTATACAAAAGAAGTTATATTTTGTTTACATGATTGTAAGTGACCCTTCTCTAGCTGTGTCCACGTTGACTACGTCCACCTGATCTTTAACTGATCTGTTTTGCTGTGTCCACTCACTGCGTGTCTCACAATTTTGTTGAAGCGTTGCTGTATAAATTATGCATTCCTACAACAATTGCGTGACTCAATGTTTTCAACTTAAAACAATCACTTTGTATAGGCGTCTTACACGCATACTTCGTGCCATTTTGTACCGATTATTTAGCGATGTAATGCTTTGCCCGTGAAATACAATGTTTTCTAGACCCATTGTTATGGGCAGCTTTCATTTTAGCTAACAAATCACGCTTATGTGACTAAAACCGCGTTACAACAATCGACCCACGCGCGTTGCCTTCGCTTCGACGTGCGCCCCCGATGGCCTTCATTTGAGACGTCACGAGAGGAGCGCTACGGCCTTCTCTTCTGGGAGGTGTTGGTCGACCGCCCGGAACAAAAAAAAAAATCTCTTTTGCGCAGGGAGCAGGGGGAGGGCGCTCCATGGTTCCTCTTCCCACTCCGTCCACAAAAGAGAATACTGCCTTTTCTTCCGAGAAGGTTGAGGCGGCCGCCCGGAAAAAAAAAAGCCAGCTTGCTCTGCTAGCTGGCTTTCCCCCAACGCAGCTGCCTGCCTTAGGGGAAAGCCAACTTGCAAAGCGAAACGGAAGCTCTGCAGGTGCTACTGCTCGGACGTGCTCCGTGCTCTCGGCATAGTTCGGCCCTAATGTGCGAATATAGAAGGCAGCGGCCTCAATTTCGGAGTCCATCGATAGCGTAGAAAAATATTGTTATTGCGGATGCAATGAAGAAAAAGCAGCAGAAGATGCAAGACTATTTCATTGTGTAATATTTCAGCAGAAAGTGGATTTTTGAGAGTCAAATTCATTAATACTTCTAATTGAATAACCCGCTATATCGAACTGGCAGACGTTTTCTTGCGAGTTTGATGTAAACGAGTTTGACGTATAGTGGGTTTTGAGTTCAAAACGAATTTAAAGTGAATATTTTTTTCTGTTGAATAGTTTTGAATTTAATATTGTTATAGTTTTTACAAGCCTTCCACTACTGTACGATACTTAAATAGAAACCCTGCAGGTTGCTGCCGAGATTTCACTTGTACTCTCCTAAGTCCTTATTTTAATACGTACCTCATATTTATAAACTGCGGCATCTGAACAAGAAATTTGTTGCAGATATTCTAGTCAAGAGGATTTTTAAATCTGCTCGTTATAGGCAAATATTTTGTATTCAATATAAAGTATGAAAAAAAAAAAAGGAGCATGAATGATGAACGTATGTTCTCAAGGCCTCTTTTGCCTAACCCAGACATTGTTTCTCAAAATTAATGAACTTCTAATTGCAAGTTTTAGAATGTGTCCAAATTTGTGCGTTTCAAAGAAATGGCATCGTCGTAATGCGCCAATCCAGACAAGGTCTAGGCTTGGCACATGCGCACTGGTGACGACGCTATTTTTGCTTCCGCAAGGCTTTTGGGTACTCTAGCCTATAATTGCCTAAAACTATTACTTAAGGTATTCACATCAAACTTGATCACATCAGTCATGCTCGTGAATGCAAGTGACAACCTAGCTTTTCATAATCTACACCTTTTTGTGTCTAGAAATTTAGTTTTTTATCCAAAAGTGTTTTTTGTATTCCTTCATACACAAACTCATCTCTGTTACGTCACAGTGCGGTGGTGGCGCTTCGGGCACAATTCCGGTCTGGGGCTGTGGGCGGAAGTCCCCGTGCGAGACGTGTATTCCTGCGTTGTTTTGAAAGGAACCTGACAAAAACCCGCTTTCTCGTCAAAACATCACGACTGGGGCTGTACTAAAAGAGTCTAGAAAGGTTTGAAGGTTAGTTTTCATGTGCTCGGTTCGTCCGAGAACGTGGATATGTGCCGTGAAAAGGGAAAACCAGATGCCGTCGGACCACATCTGCTTGGGCGGGAAGCACTTCGGGTTGAATTCACGAATACTGGTGGTCATCAATTTATTCTTTTGTTCCCACATGAATGCCAAAAAACCGTCATGTTGTACCGACCATTGTATAATGACTATGTTCAGTGCGTCTTCAAGTTCAAACGGCCGCCTGATCATTCGAACTATCGTCTGCTGTCTCAGACAATTCTGCTTGTCTGCTCTTTTAGAAGACACCGGCCCGAACATCAAATGTTGATGCCGTACTTGCGATAAGAAGTAAGTGCAGCCCTCAAAAGACTTAAATTTGAAACTTGGTAAGCAGGCTTCATGTAAACAGTAGATACAAAAAGATGTTCATCATTGTTACCAGTGGCCATCACCAACTTGTTATGCCTAATTCACTTGGTCCGATTCTGCTTGCGATTTTCAGTATCGGCGTCGACCATCTCAGCTACGGTTCACGCTGTTGCAGCCCGAGTGACTTCGCGACTGAAAATTGCGAGCGAAATCTCATCATGCGAATCAGGCTTTAGCGTACATTCTGCGGCGTCCACGCGGAATGAATCGCCGCATGCCACATTATTCACGCGAAGTTTTGCGGTGTAACGAGCCTCGGTAATCTCCCTGAGGCCGCTCAAGTAGTCAGGCATCGCAAAAACGACGTAGAATCACCAATTCGAACGCCAAAAAGGGCAGGGGGACTCACACCGACAACGACAACATCGCATTCCAATGGTTTGTTTATGGGCGACGGCGAGCTTCTCGCCCACACTCCATCGCGCATGCGCGGCGCCAGTGGCGCTACAGTTTGTAAATATGAACTGGTGTAAACTATAATTTAGGGAATGACATATAAAATATCAAGCAAATAAAAAAATGTCAACCATTTACCTACTACTCAGTTTCATCTGAAATGACCCAATACCATGGTGTTAAGAGAGTTCAGCCTTCAGTTGTGTGGTGTAAACATCAGCCAGTGTGCAACGGTATTACAAATACCAGAGTCACCACTTGCGCGAAGGCATGATGTTGCTCCAATGACACTGCCTAGCTTTCTGCTTCTTCGTCCATTTATCATTTTCTTTTTAGACACAGCCTGCTATTGTTTTACCCTCGCCATGCCCGCCATCGATTGGGGCATAAAATTCATAATGTTTCCTGTTCATATGTTCGTTATACCTTACAATACAACACAGACCATGCTACAGGCCACACAAGTCAACTCAATGTAGTGACCTCGGAGAGAGGCGCTGTGATGCGTTGTCACTTGATGCGCTAAGTTGCCCGAGACAGCTGGCAACGGCCGCTACAATCCATTGCACTTACAAACGGAGTATAGTGACTTCTAGATAAATTATTTGAATCATTTTGTCAACTCCCTACATGCACTAAAATACTACTTCGAGAAATTAGCACAGTTGAGAGCAACCAACCAAGCACAGCACCCCGAGGACTGATGCACCACAAAGTTCAGTTTCCATAGGCACTACCAGACACATCACAGATAAAAAAAAATATAAATAAAAAAACATTTTTTTGTATGATGCTTTGTGGTGCCTGGGAGATAATGCGACCAACTATGGCCACTGTGGATACGGTGCTCGAGTAACCACTAGTTGTTGAGACACAGCACCTCCAACAGAAATTGACTGCAACAGACTCGGCAAAACCGTTATTTCTTTATTTTAAGACAATAGAATACAACAGGTCTTGGTGGTGGATTCTGAATTACATGTTTCTAAGTGTTCAATAACGAAAATGAAAAAAAAAAATTGAGGATGACAATATCTTTGAATTCTCACAAAAAAATTATTTGACTTTTTCTATATTTAAAAAAAACTTCTGAGCATGCATAAAAATATTTACGTTTCGGGATGTTTTATTACCCTGTGGAGCTCGAAGATATGTTAATGCGCAATTGGGAAAATCATATTTCCACCTCCTCAGACGCAATTTATTTTAACAAAAACATTGAAGGTCTTTTTGTAAAAGTAGGTCTATTCCATTGCAAGGACATATTTTGCTAGCTCCTATAAAATCTTAATTGAAAACAAAAAATAGGCACGACATTATTGTCCTATCTTAACATGTTGCCCCATTTGTTTTTATCGCCTTCCTTGTTTCTGTTAGACTCTACACATTGGCCGGTTCCCCAATTCCCCATTCTTGGGTCAGGCTCTGTTGATGCACTGTTTAGTTAAATTAAACTATTATTGCTACATGAAAGTTTTATGAGTCTGTGCTTTGTCGGACACATGTCTATATTTCCTGTTTACAGTGTAACAGTTACACTTGCGGCTCACCCGGACCGTGTCGCTTGCTCCAGTGCCGCTACAAGTCATGCCTTCATAGTGCCTTGTTTGGAAGACTTCAATGTCATGGGTGCCTTGCGACCACGGCTTCTAGAAAAAAAACAAAAAAACACACAATTAATTGCCTGCACGCAGAACACCAAAGAAAAAAATCAAACCTCTGGGTATCTAATGCCTGTCAAGAATATCAATGTAACCTGTGCTTTAGTGCACATTTTATATACTCTGTGCATTAGTTGTAATATGGGGAAGAGAGCAGATGCTGTACAGAGATGTTGTCCACCTAAAGTAGGTTTAAAGTATGTCCCTTACATCTATCACTTGCTTCATGCAGTTAAGCATGTTATGTACGAACCAAGATTGAATATGATATTCAGTCAATTTCCGTGCAAACGACATAAACAATCACGTGCCTCTGTCAAGTGGCAAATTTGAATGCAAGCTCTGCTAGGTACATATATATGTCTCGTCTGGTTGAAATTAATCACAGGAGCTCACTCTTAAGAGACATTGCACAATTTCAGGTTGTCCGAGCCACGCAGCTTGCTCCACCTTACGTATCATTGCGCAGCATGTTAGTAACATGACAGCCTCCTTGTCAACGCTAAAGTCATTTTCCTCGTTTGAGGTTTTTTGGCAATGCTTATTCCACAGCCTACAGCCCTAAAACTTGAATCTCTATCATATTGAGGGCTATATCACTCAGCTTGCATCCACCCCCTTCTACAGGCTGCAACCACAGAGGCATAACATAAACAGATCCAGTCCCTATAACACCAAAAAATATTGAACGGTTCCAATTGCATTGCTGCATCAATAGACCCATTTTCTGAAAGTCCACACAAGGCACACTAGATCTTGTAAAGAGGTACAGTAGCACAGCCAAAAATAATTTACGTCCCCACTCACCCCTCCCAATATTAATTAGCACAGTACGCTGTGTAATAATACGCTACTTTCCACTTACAGTATGGGTGCATGTTCTGGTGTAAGTCATCGCACCAGTAATAGGCAAAATAAAATTGCCCATAAAACTGCATATCGCGTGGAACCTTGATTATGCATTTCCAGTTTATTCAACGTCCTGCATTTTACTATAATTTAGCGCAGGTTTGTCAAAGTGCTGTAATTATTGTCGTTTTGGGTAATACGACTCCGGGTTCATTATTTGACACTTTCGCGCGTTCCCATAAATGTTGTATAATGAATGTTCCACTGCATACGGTCTAAACTTCCAAGGGGGAGGGGGGGTACTGAAGTTTCATGAGTAAAGCACTGCGGATGCGCCAAATGCCCAAGAACTACCCACGGTTATGCCCAGTGAACTGGCAGGTGCGGATAAAAATAAATTAGATTTGGCGGATTGTGAATTGGATGCAGATGTCATGGGCTACAGGCGCGGATATCCGTGGGTCCGGATCTATATTTTTGTCGAGGGGGCTCTCAAGCGTGAGTTATCGCAGAGCGAAGGGAATAAGTGAGTAATTCTACAAAGTGCATTATGGAATGTTTGGCAGGAAAAAAATTACTCTCTCAGAAAAGGAGTGCCAATTTGGGAGAAAATATTTCTTTACACTAAGACCTGAGTCTTATCAGAGATTGGTTTAGAGTGTTCTGCGTCACCAAACCTGCTGTCCCTACAAAAAATAAAGAATGTAGGGGCATCAATTGCCTTGGGAAAGTGTGTTCTTGTCTGGCACGAAAAGAGTGGAAAACATTCTTTGGGCAAAGGAAACTCAAAACGTACAAGCCACAAAAAAGTAGAAGCCCCAGTCGTGTAATCGCGTCTTACCACGCATATACCAGTGCTTCTCTGCAAAGAGTGACCGCCTTTCCTCGCACACTTTTTTTTTATTTTTTAAAGGGACACTGACAGGGTATTTATGCTCGCCAAGGTTTTTAGTTGTACGTGACATATGAGAGCTCAACTACCCAGGACAGAATTTGCGGCTCAAAATTCGGTTTCTTTCCGCCCAAAAACCGCCGATCAAGAACTGGCCGGTTCGAGTCTCGCTCACTCTCCTTTCCGCGGTCACGGGCCGTTTTCTAAGGTATCGATGCGACCACCAAATTTAATCAAAGTCGTGGGTCACTGAAGGCACACACTCAATATTAAAAATAGAAAAAAAATATGAAACCCATTTTTTGTGGCTTCTAAAAAGCTGTAAATACGTTGATTGATAAAAAAAGTTCCACAGACAACCGGAAGCATTCTGTGCGTTCGTCGTTTCGCGTATCGTGGGACTCGCGGGGACGGCGATGGCAGCGGACGACAGGCATGGGACCTCTATTTCAGAACTGTCGTTTGCGGTACCGGCGAATTCTGTCTACCGTTAAAAGAGAAATTTGGGACTGATCAAAAGAATTGGTATTCATCCCGTACGACACGCCCGGCCACCAAGCAGATTTGCACGAAGACGTCGCCGAGCCGTCGCTCCCTTCTCGTGGCTGAAGACATCGCTCGCGCAAACGTCAAGCACGACGTGTCTACTTCGAGTTGAATATGCACGCGTACGATTTCTTTACTACGTGCGAATGTCCCCAAAGCGTGGTGCTTCCCGACTTCGACCCGGGAGTGCTTTTGCTAGAGAAAAATCGACAGCAAACTTTCCAACTTACAGTTTACCGGCTGAATTATTACTAAGAAAAGAGATCCACCAGAAGTGAGATGTGCCAGTAGCTCAGTGGGAAAGACGTCCGGTTCACACGCGTTAGGTCTGGGATCGATCCCTCGTGTAGCTCTATTTTTTCTTTTTTTTAACATTTTCCGATGTTTACATATCTTTTTCTTTTTTTTTTACAATCATCACTGAAGAAACAAACAAAAGTTGTGGACGATACTTCGCTTAATTAAATGGTATGGGATTTCCGTTTTGACACCTGCGAACTCAATGTAATCACTTTCCACAAAATACGAGGAGCATATAAATCAGGCAGCGTCCGCTTTCCGAGGTGCCCGTATATGTTCTACAGGAATTTCAGCCAGCCATTGGTCCCGATCCCGTTGATCTTTCGGAAACTCTGTCGCACAATGCCACTTTTTTTCGGATGCAGGACATGTGAGCCAGCTCTTCACGCAACATCTTGGGTGTATTCTTTTCGGAGCCGATCATGGAAATTCACCACGGGCACCTACTACTCATCCTCCAACTCCTCAATGTACAAAACAACTCATCTTGGAGTACAAAACAACGAGCGGAACAAACATAACTGCAAAAGAATCGCACGGCGAGCAGTTCCCGCACGCCGCATAGCACACCGCATGTCGTGTCGTCTGCTATGGAGAGGAGAAAACAAAAACAAAAACGCACGGTCGGGTGTAGCCACGTGACTTCCGCCACTCACTCTCTTCTCTCCACTTCTCCGACCTCCGTCGGGTTTCGGTTTCGATTTCGAGCAGTTGCGTCTTTTGGCTATATTAAACAAATACGCTACTCTGTTGCAAAATATTAATTGGGTAGTCCTCCGACACCATAATGAAGTGCCTGGCAAAAAATAAAAAAAAATTTTGGGGGCTGTCAGTGTCCCTTTAACTTAAAAGGGACCTTCAAAAAAGAAAATGTAGGAGGGACACGCAGGTAAAAAACAAATTTAACATGAACAAAAAAAATTTTTTTTAGAGGCTGGTACACATGTACAGCACAGAGCTGATGAACCTAATTTAGCACTAATTCACCACTGTATCACTGGTGTAGGACAAATGTAAGACTGCATAAACAAGATCAGCATTACAGTATAGACTACTTATAACGTAACCACTTATAGTGCAGGACCGGGTATAACGCGACTTTTTTATTTAAACCACCAGTTCGCCTCCCATAGAACGCCATGTAATTACATACCACTTAAAATGCAGGCGCGAAGGGAAATACTGGTTATAGTGCGGTTTCTGGAACAGCGCGCCGATTGCCCTGCGCAGCCAGCACGCTTCCCTGTGCGACACTAGATAATGGCGCTAGCCTGGCTAGCCGAAAGCGGCACTCGCGGGGCAAAGAGGTTGCTCGAAGTCGTGGCTCCAAGAAGCGAAGAGAGAGGCTTCAGTTGCCATACCGACGAAGGGACGCACGCACGTGTCGCTCACGTGCGTGCGTTGGAAACAACCGCAACGACAGACCAATTGCAGGTTGGGGAGAACTGTTAGAGCGCGTTGCATGTCAGTCGCGGGCCGGCATCTATCCGCAAACATGGCGTCGGTTGCGATCGTTCCACGCAAAAGCACTATCCTTGACTGTGAATTTTTGTTGTGTGCCGCTATGATAACCCAGCACGTACTAGAAGGGGAGATCCACCTACTCGTGCGGCAATGTCGTGGCGGCACTCTCAAGACGGCAGAAACGCCCGTGTCGTTGTGTTTGTTTACTTCGACTACAGTGGTGCTTTCTAAGCATTTGTGTTTTTGAACATCGCCCGGATTTCTTATCTGGAGCATTTCACGCCTGTGCTAAAGTTGAAGGTATTACTGGCGCGTACCGTATAAAGGATGCTAATTTTCACGCGTCTTCATCACCGGAAAAAAGTGATTAGGGTTAGCAATTCTAACGCTTGCAACGTCCGTCCGCAACCAGCGACGCCGTTAAAAGGCTGCGCCAGGCAAAAGTCGCTCATTTCTTTCAAAATTGACACACTTAAAAGAGAAGTGTACTAGTCTGGTGAAATAAAGACTCCTCTTCGACTAACATAAAATAAATTTTTTTTTTTTAAGGTAAGTTGTCTTATGGCATGTATTTTGGCCTGAAAAATTGATGTTTTCATTATAACGCGGTACCGCTTATAGTGCAGATTTTCGCGACTCCCGCGTTTTACGTTATATGCGGTCTACACTGTATTCCCAGGTCTTGACTAATAGCCCTAATGTAGAGCTGTGGTTGTATGTGTAAACAGGCCTTACATAATATCTTTTTTTCACTATTACCTTGAAGGTTTCACAACTGCGGTGATGCGATTGGCCTAACCCGTTTTGGAGCACCTTTCGGAGCAGCCAAAACAGTGTTTTGGAGCAGCAAAAGTGGCCTTTGCAGCAGCCAAGACAGTGTTTTGGAGCAGCAAAAGTGGCTTTTGGAGCAGCCAAAACAGTGTTTTGGAGCAGCAGA